GTAAAGATCGTCGCAGAGCTTTTCCCATATTACAAAAGCGCCGTCCCTAGGATTCGAACATGGGATCTTCCCATAACATTTGGTGAGGGTGACAACTAGACCACTTCACTAAGTCGCCACACCTCTAGCTTGCAATATTTGATATTGTATAAAAATGATTTTGTTGTTAATTTAAGAACTTTGAAATTAGGAGATTATCTAGAAAAACTAGTGAAATCATTATCCATGTATATTAAAGAGATTAAAATATGGATGGTTTTGCAAGGTTATGAGGATGAAGTAAATTTAGATGATTTATATAAATTCTTTAATAATATTAATTCCAGAAGCTTATTTGTTCTTTTAGAAATTGCTGTTCCTTATAATGAACAAGTGGTTTCTATGAGTATTCAATTTGACGAATTTGGAAAACCAAAAAAAATCGAAAGCAAAAATCTTAGAAATTTTAGAAATTATAATTAATTTAGAATATATGAGAAAATAAAATTGGTTCTAGCAGATGTATTCTTGTGACACTTATGCCTGCATTAAAATAATTGTCGCGACTGAAGCTGAAACTCGATTTAAAAATACTTTTTTATTCTTAAATTATAGCGCTTTGCAAAAAAGATGTGACCCCATGATTTTTGTGATGATGAACGAGGAAAATTTCTGAGATTCAAATATATATATTTTGCATTAAAAAAATACGACAATTCATGAATAAATAATTGATTTTTACAATATAACAAAAAAAAAGTAGATTTTTTCATAGTATTTCTATTAATTCTTGGTATTACTTTATAGGTAGTGAGGTTTCTGAAGTAAATCTTGTACTAAAATTGGTCAAAAAATTTTTTCTAGTTACATGTCGCTAATACAACTAACAAGATGAGTCAGAAACCAGGTATCGGTAGAACAAAAATCATCCCGATTGTCATTGATTTCAAAAGTACTCAAATTACCTATAGTATCTGATTATTGTTCATTAAATAAAATAATTCCCTTTATCATACCAAATTTCTATAAAGCATTTATCATGTACAGATTTTTTAATAATTTGTACACAAAGATTTCTTTTCGATAAAATACCTATAGATATTTTAGATATATTCTCAACTTTCTTTCTAATATAATTTAACAATGTGTGATCAAATATATCATATTCATTATCATGACTATTAGTTATAACAAAACCCCTCAATAAAGACCAAGAAGAACAAATCTCTGCAACATCGCAAAGATTAGCAATTAAAATTTTGCATTCGTGTAATTCAAAATATTCAAGTTTAGGATGCTTTTTAAAAATCATTTTTAATACATCTTCTAAATTTGTAGCAATCTTTTAATTTGAGGGTTTTAATATTAATATAATCAAATCTACTAAAATAAAGATGGTAATCGATAGAAGAAACAACTTCTAATTCTACTAAATATTTGAACGGAAAAGAATTCCAATAAAAAATTCCCATATAATGTTGTATGGTGAGATGATATACCCAACTTGTTTTATCATCAAACAAGGGTGTCTCCTTGCCAGTTGTAGACAAAATATGAGCATCTATATAATCATGAATAACTAGATTTATGTTATAATTATTTTCGAATAATCGTCTCAAATTTAAAAATATTGAATCCAATTCCTGTTGAACATTAAAATAATTCGGTCTCATAAATGCCTGCATATTAAATAATTCAACAGTTTCAATCTTTTTCGCAAAACTCAAAACTATTTCAATGATGTATTCAGCGCTCAACATACCATAATAAATATATTGGATATCATTGAATGAAAGTCGACGTATAACAGAAATGTAATCGAATGTAGGATTATTTTCATTTGAAGGATCAAATTTTAATTGTTCTACAAAGTTTTTTTTACCATGTTCAGTTAATAGATTGGAGTAAAATATCATTCGTGTAGACATAACGAATTCATTTCTTCGTTCACCCTTGATTCCTTTAAATGGATCCACCCACAATCGCTTATACTGAATCATAGCAAACATGCGATTAACCAACAAAGTCTTGAATATTTCCTCTGGAGTAAATTTGACTGTTGAAAAAATATAATCAACAATAAAAGATATAGAAAATGGATTTGAATTCATTCTAATTGATCAAGTATGTTTATTCTAATCATATTTGATCTTTATATTATTTCAAATTCTTTTGATTTGATAAAAAATTTTTATCATAAAACGTATTCTTTAAATAATAGTCAAATATGATAATTTAATAACAATAAAACTTAACTTATATTGTAATTAAAAACCATAATTTCAGTTAATGAATTGTTTAATATTTTCTTTAGTCAATAGGCTTTTAATTTAATGTTAAGATTTTTTAAGAAAAATATAAAGTTAAAAAAAATTACTTAGAAACTATTTGCATGGTTTCTATTGACCCCCAATTGTGCCATTCAAAACTGATTAAAGCTGCATTTTGAATTAATAGGGGTGTAATTTCGAAATTTGGCCTAAATTAAGCCTAATTCGGGCCAATATTCAAACGATACCACTGTGCATTTTGACTGTCCCAACTTTTGAAGATTAGCGATATTGATATCAAAAAGTTAAGACAAAAATCGACTAAATTAGCCAGCATAATGCCGGCTAACCGTGTCGGTATTAGGTCCTTTCGGAATCTGTCTTTCAGAATTTTGTCCTAAAAACCGACGGCAAAAAGAATGTAAAAGGATGTATATATTTAGTCCGGGAATTGACAAAATATAAAAATAATTTATATATGTATTATTTATCACATTTTTAATTTATTATTGCAATTGAAAAAAACAATACAAAGAATAATAAAGTACTTAATATTGCCGAAATATTTTTAAACCTTGCATTATGAATTTTCACATTAGCTGACTATTCTTTAGCCAACTATTATGATGCGTTTTGTAAGCATTCTTTGATACGGCTATTTTTCTATTTCTCAAACTATTCATTCACACTTATCTACTATTATTAGATCCGAAAACGTAAACATCGAAGAGAATTTTCCCGCCAATACAATCCAAAATTGTTAAACCTAATCTTAAAAAGATATGTTTTTTAGGCTTTATGTAATTAATCATAAAACTTCGGAACCAGAAATTAAGAAATATTACCACATAAAAAATTGATTATGTTTTTAAAAAATTAGTTATATTGAACGATCTATAAATTTAAAAATTGTATTTTGATGAAAGAGAAAATCATAATTAATAATCATTGAAAATTGAATTAATTTTTAACAATTAGATAATGCTAATTCATAATGAAAAAATTAAAATTTTAAATACAAGAAAAAAAATCCTCACAACAAATTAAAAAGCACACTTTTTTTAACTTATTCTATATTATTTTTAGGTTCGAATAATTAATTCTGTAAGAGGAGTAAATTCCTATTAAAAAATGTTATATATATTTATCATGTGATATGGTACACCACATTGAAGTAATGTTTGTATCAAACACCCCCAACGGGGCTCACTAACAAAAAATCAAGTTCATAATTCTATGAAACTGCTTTCTGCGCACTAGCAAAAAGTTTTCCTTGTGAATTTGGTATTTATAGCATAAGTTAACTGTGAAATTTTTTTTATGTTTTCAAATATAAATTAAAAAAGCTTGATTGATAGAACTTTGATAGTGTATAAAATAAAAGCTACTATAATATAATTTTCTTCATTATATAATCAACAGAATTTGGATTAAATAAAAATTCAAGCAAATTTTTAGCATAAACACATCCAAGATTGGCTGATTCTTTAATAAGGCTGATAGCATACTCTATTTCATTCTTACTAGTGTTTCTTTTATTATATAATTTTGTTCCCATTAAATAAATTATGAAGGATTTAATATTAATGTTTTTTTTGAAACTTTCAGAGTTTTTTAAATGATGAAAGACATTATACAATATTTCCTTTTCTTCAGCATATTTAAATAGATTCCGGATATGGTTTAAAAAATTATCTTCTGCCAGTAGAAGAATATTCTCATATACTTTAAAATTCATGTATGCTTCTTTGATATCATTTAATCTCGACATATCATTCTGAAAGATACAGAGTTTGAATCAATTTTTATATAATATTGATCAAGAAACAACAATGTAATTTTTAATTTACTAATTTTTTTATTCTTGAATTAATTAAATTTCATTTAAAAAAAAAAAAACAATACAAACAGATATATATTTTGCATTAAAAAAATATTACTCAAACGACAATTCATCTTTTTAATGATTTTAAAACTGAAAAATTTCTGGAATTGTATTTTTTGAATTGTTTTTTTTTTGTTTGTAATTTCATTAATTTTATTTTATTTTATTTCGCATAACATATATGTAAGAATTATTTTCTCTGCCTTTTTTGGTATATATTTTTTTGTATTGTCTTCATAAGATAAACGTGACTTTAATCATTTTTTAAAAACTAAATACAATACAAAAAGATATTTTTAGAGCGAGCAGAATTATGCACCGCAGAATTCTGGACACTCTAATTATGCGTATAATTACACATGTGTAGACTCCACATATATATCTTCGGTATCCAATAATCCATCCACGTCAAAAATACAATATTTTATGTTCATATTTTATATGCCTTGAACTGTAAATTGATAATTTTATTGATATGAACTGTAAACTATTAATATGGTTTTTGATTAGTAGTTCACATCCCTACAATTATAAATGATACAAAACAAAAGTAAATTGACTATTTTTAATGAAAGAATTTGACAATAAATTACTTGTTAATTTTAATTGATAACTTAAAATAAAATTAATTGCAATTAAGTTTTCGGTAGGCATGGTAATTTTATTATAAAAAAAAAGGCTTAAAAATATATACCTTGCTAATACTAAACTCCCTTTCTTATTCGGTAAAATTTTATTTTTGTAAAAACAAATTTTTCAAAAATAAATTCTTCCTATTTTAATTCAATTATTTTTTTTAAATATAAATTTCTGAAATTCAATTGATCTAAATAATAGGCTGTAGTCCATATAAATATTTTCAGTACAATGTCCACTTTTTATTTTGCTTTAAGAATATATTAACTTGAATATGGTTTAGTAAAGTAAAATCAGTTATTGAAATTCAATTAGTTTGTTGGTGACATAATTTGTTCTGGTAATTTTAATATCAATTAATTCATAACTGAAATACAAAAATTTGATTTTCTCAATTAAATATTGAAATATCTAAATATATTTTCTTAATGATGCGAGTAAGGTGTTCAGAATTCTGCGGTGCATAATTCTGCTCACTCTAAAAATATTTTTTTGTATTGTCTCCATAAGATAAACGTGACTTTAATCTTTTTTTAAAAACTAAATACAATACAAAAATATATTTTTAGAGCGAGCAGAATTATGCATCGCAGAATTCCGGACACTCTAAATATGAGGTTGTCACTATAGATGTTGGTGAAATATGGTGAAATATGGTGAAATATAGTGAAATAATTTCACCATATTTCATTTCACCAGTATCTATAGTTTTCACTCAATAAAAGATTTATCAAGATATAACTTTATTATATTTTGAACTAAAAAATTAAAATTATTACATATATAGAGTTTTGGATTAAATAAGCTTATGAAAATTGCTCTTTATAATGAAAAGCAATACAATTGGCTGATTTAATGTATTGTGTGAATTAACATTAAATAGTAATCTGTATTATCGCTAATTTTTTGAACAAAGTTGAAACTGGTTTCTACTTTGCTTATCAATAAAAATTTTAACACAATACAAATTAAAAAAAAAAAGCTTAATGACGTAATTATAAGTAAAAACTAGATATTGGAATGCCTCAAATTATATGAATTTTGACACCAGAATGGTTACTCTCTAACCCTAAATAGAGTTCCTTAAATTTTTATAGTTATCACTAAGATAGTGGGTTTAATAAATTTGCTAACGCTAGAGTATCAGGCTTGGGTTTAGGGCCTCTTTTTCTATTCGAAACATATACATATTCAAGATCACACTGCTTACAATTCGTACATATTTTCTTACCAGAACATTTTGTTTTTTTTCTTCGACAGCTGGTACATGCCAGTTTAATATAAGGGCGTGTTTTCTTTTGAGCACATTGCATTTTTTTTTAATGTTTGAAATATTTATGATCGTGATGCTTTTTTGCTTTGAAATGTGCTATATGTATTTATAATTTTGTATGTAAGCATGCAAATCTAAAACTATTTAATCGCAAGATATTTCGATCTCATATAAAATTTGTTTCTAAAAAAACTTCTATAAATTTTTTATTCAATTGTGCCGATCATATCCAAATTCAAACGATGTGATTCGTTATCAGTTTTACTATTAAATTTTAGGATAAGTTTTGGATACTGCTTAATTTATAGAACAATCATTTTTCGATGTACTGTATATCGATATATTAACTTTTTTGGTTGAACAATAAAATTTGATCTCTGAGAATATTTCTAAATAGTTTCATATGCAAAAAAAACATATTACAAGTTTTCTTGCTCAATTATACAGTAACCAACTAATCTAAATAAATATAATTTTCAGTTGATGACGTAAGTTAATTGGTATTATTACTTTTAGGGCCAAGAGCAACAGATCAACCTGCGCAGAAGACCGGCGCTAAGCTCACTGTCCGAAAAAGTATACGTACTGTGAAGCAAGAAGTGTTTTGGCTGTAGTTGTCAGGAAAGTATTTATCAAGGAAATTTAGATAACAAAGCGTTTGTGTTTAAAAACTTTTAAGAACATAGTTATTTTTTTTTTATCTTTTTTACAAAAATATAGAAATTACTTTTCCATGAGGTAGAGAGTCATAGGGAGACATTCACATGATTGGTTAATTTTGGTAGATCTACCTGTGATTGCCCGTGATAATTAACCAATCAAAATAAATAATTTTATTAATACTAGAAAATGAAACAAAACTTCGAATAAAGAAGCTTACAAACTAATAAATTAGTGATACAAATCGAAAATTGAAAACTCAATTAGTTGTCAACTAATCGACAAATCGATTGGAAAATTTTGAAAAAAACAACTAATCGATTGAAAAATTTTTGATGATTTGTAACACTATAATAAATACATACACAAAAGAATAGATTACTTATATTAAGAGAATAGATAGATACGCGTAAAGTAGACAAATATGATATTTATTACTAATAAACCCAAACTCATTAAAGAATCCACGTACAAGATCTACGTACAATATATAAACTACATCTATTAATATAACGGTTGACAAGCCCAAACGCATTACAAGAACCGACCAAATTTAAATATTAAGCCCGAATCTTCTACTACTAAAAGCTTGTACCTATTCAAATTAAATAGTTAAAAGCAAAAGTTTGTCTAAATCTAACATAATAAAATAGCTTTAGATGAAAACATTGTCAGTTACCTTCACTCTACAATATGGTCCAATAAACGGTAGGCATACTTTGTCTTCTAAGCAAAGTCAGTCAAATTACAGATTATTTTGAGATTATTTTTTTCAGTAAATATTGACGTTCGTTTAAAATGAAAAATAGCCTTTGTGGCAATTTTTTATTAGATAAAAGTCTGACTATGAGGTAGAGGGTGTACAGATTTCTCATAAGATTCAAAAAACTCACTCTGAAAACTCGTGATAATTTTGGTAAAATTAGCAGTCACATGATTTGTCACGCAGATTGTGTGAAATTTTTAATTGTGAGTCAAATGATTGACGCGCCTACATTTCATATATAAAATTTAGATAAATTTTGCTTTTTTGACTTATTTAGCAAGAAGAAGCTGTCGATTATATAAAGCTTTTGATAAAGAATAAAAAATGAAATGTATAAACGATTCTCAATATAAATCTTATTACTCTCAAAATATGATCTTGTCAAATATAAAAAGAAGCCAAAAACGCTCTTTTTGATGGAATTTTTCAGATCTTTATTTTTTACGGCCAGGATCGTATTTATATCGCAATATTTAGTACTGTCAGATCGCTCTTAAATGTCTCAATCAAGTAGACCACAAAGATTATGTACAAATTGTCAAACGAGACACCGAAGGTGTGAAAGACTTTCTGAAAGGGACGTTTGTACATACTGTAGAAGATATGGACTTAACTGTATCACTACCCCAGGTAGAAGACGCAGGCGAAGGCCTAGGTCACCCAGAACTACTGAAGCTTTCTATTCTTTCGAAATTGTCATGTCATTCATTAGCCAAAGACAAATGCCAGATGATCAAAATATCAAGTCAATTAATTCTTATGAACCTTCTCTTAGAATTACCGAAGCACTTATTAACCAAGAATTAACCCTTACAAATCTTTTTTTGAAACTGCCAGATCATTTATTGACCAAGAACCAACATCAAATCATCAAAATACTACACTAATTAATCCTTATGAAACTACTACTTCAAACTTCGGAATCTCACATGCTTATAATCATATTACTATTATTCCTTCTTTCGGACTACTGACGCATTCATTGACCAAGGACAGATGTTAGATAACCAATATGCTACATCAATTAACCCTTATGAATCTTTTTTTGGAACTACTGAAGCATTTATTGGCCAAGAACTAATATCAAATCATCAAAATACTGCATCAATTAACACTACTATTCCTTCATTTAGACAATGGCAAACTTTAGATGATCAATTATTTACCAAGAACAAATACCAATTACCACATCAAATAACCCTTATGACACTACTACTGAAGAATTTCATTCCTTCTGCACAAACATCGAAACCCAACCTGCTTATAATTATAACCTTCTTCAGGAGACTGCCGAAAGCGACTATCAACGTTAAACAATCTAAATACCACGTCAATTTTTAGAACTACTGAAGTATCTATTCATATTGTGCTAATTTTGGTTATATCCCAAATTAAGTATGTTGTAGTGATATTGGTCAAATCAATTGACTCACATAGATAAGATAATTAAATTTTGCATTAAATTTTTTTGTAAAGTTCCAATTTTTTATCATTATTATAATATTATGCAAATTTTATTTCTGGAGCTGAGGGAAGCGAAGTGAAAGCCTTCAAGCCATACTCTATGAATTTTTAGAAATGGCTAGTTCTGCTTTAGCTGATTCTGATTTCTGGATTTGTCTTTTCATTATAAACCTTTTTTTTTTTTTTTTTTGGCTGTAGTTGTCAGGAAAGTATTTAAATTAAAGTTATCAAGGAAATTAAGTTAACAAAACGTTTGTGTTTAAAAACTTTTAAGAACATGATTATTTTTTTTATCTTTTTTTAATGAAAATATATCGATACGTATATGTATATCAATATAACGAAAGTCGACCATACATGAAATCACTTTCCCATGAAGTAGGGAGTGTCATGAAGTAGAGAGTGTACAAAAAAATTCAGGTTTCTCACAAGATTCAAAAAACTCTCACCCTGAAAACATTATCACAATGTTAATAATATTTCAAAATTTTGTAATTAAGTAAAACATCTCTTTACCTTAAAAACTTATATATATGACACAAATTAGTCAATAACGATAAATTAATATCATGGGGTAATTAAAATAACGGTGGCAATTTAATTACTGTACTTTTATAGCTTTTTGTCAGTAAGGAGCTTCAAGAGCCTTAAGGGCATTCTCAAGCCTCTACAATACTGAATCTGATTGGTCTAATATGGAAAACAACATATTTTTATTACAAAAATCTCTATATAAATCAGTGTTAAATGACCTGCTGAAATGACTTTTTCTTTATGAAATTTAATAATAAAATTAAATAACCCAAATGATCTGACGAAAGTTATTTCAGAAAAGCAAATAACCATGCAATTTAATAATACAGACTCTCCAGATTATTACACAATTCCAACATTAATCTTTTCCGCAATTTAATTACACTTACTCATATATGCCATATGGTATCTGTGCCTTGAAAATGACCTTACAGGACTATATACACGTGAATATTAACCGATCAAATTATACACAATTAAAATATTATTTGGATAATTAAATATTATATTTTGTTAAAATCTGAAGAGGAGCCTATACATTCACATTCCCTTCCACCCTTACAACACCATCTTTCAACAACAGCAACAACATCTCCATCATTAACATCAGCAGCATCAATCGCGAGATTGTCTACTTTAACCCTCTTGAAGAAAGTGTCGATCTTTGGTTGTTTGGGATCATCGTTGACAAAAGTCAGTTTGAGTTTTTTTGATGGATGTGTTAGTTCTTCAACGTTTTTCCATTTAGTAGAAGACAAAGATATTGGAGCACATCCATCTGTTAAAACTTGACCTGTAGAGACGAAAGGAATTACACTCTGGATGTATTTTTGAGTGTTTTCCTCATAGATCCTCTTGATCAATCATTTCGTGTCCTTTACATCGCATTTCAACAGACTGGCGATCACATCCTTCAAACTCTCAAAGTAGTAGAGGATGTCTATCCTTTCTTTGTTGGGAGCAAACGAAGCACGCAAACATATTTGATATGAGATTTTAATATCCGAATCGTCACCACATGTGATCTTGTAATAGAAGTAACGACCGGGTTCCAACTTTTCTTTTCTACCTTTATCCAGCTTCGCCTCAAAATCTATTTACGTCTTGTTTTACTTCTTACTCACGGGTTTATGTAATCGAGATCCCAGAAATCCTTGACGTGTGTCCTTTGAAATGTGGGATCGAATCTTGCAGAAAGTTCAAAGAAATCCATGTCATCTCAATAATCTGTTTTCTTGATATACTTTGTTATTATTTCAACAATAATGTCTTTAATATTTGATTCTTGGGGAATGAATCAGTTGTTTTTTTTGTTCACACCCAAAATCGACCATATTATCTCCTCCACCACCATCTTGTAAAATTTCAGAACGTTTCTCTTCACCATCCGAATACCCTTGAACATCAGGTCAAAATTGTCAAATTCTAGTTGAACTCATGCTTGCAACCTAAGTATTGCTTTTTTTGAATAAAAAGAACTGGCATTAACGTTTTTTCATATGCCACTTTCATATACGAATATCCTGTAATCTCTCGCATATAATCATTGATGAGAGATTCTAATATTTGAGAATATTTTACAGTCTTCTTGATCATCTCTGATCAGTACAGTTGTTTTATCTTGACCCTGATGAAATCTGAAACATGATGATGACGCACTTGGTAAAAACAGTCTATGTAATGAAACAACCGATCAGGTATGATGTAGAACACCGAGTCTGTATCATTATACACCACTACACAATCAAGTTTTTCCAAGAATTCTATGACCTTTCTCGTGCACCAACATGGAAATCCTGTAACCAAAAATGCTACAAGTTTTGAAAGATTTAGCAACAATCTCATTAAAGATTCCTTCCCATGAGTTTTTAACCCACAAACATACATCACTTAACTTAGCGCGGCAAAGGTTTCCTTTTTTAGTTTTACCAGCACCACCCCTGAATATCCAAAGATGCCATTCCTTGCGAAGGTTATCCTTAAAAGGTTTATTAATTGCGATGTCTAGTAGTTGACATACACTAGTTAATCTACCTGGAATTACTGCTAAGTCAATTCCATTATCTTTAAATTTCCCTTTAATAGATTCATCCAAATGTCCTTTAAAAGAATCATAGTCATCATTGGAGCCCCAGCTCTATTAATCTTTATATCTTTAAGATAATTAACATAATGATCTATTAGATCAGAATCCATTCATCCATTATCTTGAAACCAAACAATTATACCAGAAGGAATTTGTTCCCTCTTTGGTAATTGTTTCCCTTTAAATATACAAATAGATGGAAATTTCATTCCATCTTTAATTGTTATAAAAAAAAAAAAAGATTTATGATAATAAAATAAATAAAAAAAAATAAAAAAAATAAAAAAAAAGATTATACAGGTAAATCTGATTTTTTACTAGTTCTAATATAGAACTAATCAAACCAAATAAAGCTTAATAGTTTTACAGAAACTATTTTAAACAACTTACCTATAGCACATGTCAAGACAACTGTAAATCTGTTTTTTTCATTGCCTGTACTACATATTTGGACTGTCTTCGCTCCTTTTTGTTCAACTGTAAAGTTCTCTGCCATATCAAACCAAACAGGAGTTTCATCCATGTTAAGAATATTGCATAGCTCTGAAAGTTGCTTAGTAACTCTTGAGTTTGTTCAGGCATTTTCTGTAAAATTTTTGTATATCTTCGCCAAGATAAATTGTAACTTTTCATAAATGCTAATAACCAACGATCTGATATTTTAAAATCTCTTAACGCATCATTATATAAACCTGATACATAAAATGCGAGAAATAATAATTTCCACCAAACTAAGTCATATCCAGTTCTTTCAAAATTTCCAACATTTGAATTTTTAAGATTTTATAAGTAACTGCCAGCCCTTGTTTTCTTTGACCTATTAACCAATTATATAATTTTCTTTCTGCTTCAGGGTAATAAGCTTTCTGACCAGAACCAATAGATCTTATGAATAAAAATTAAAATTTCTAATCATCCAATGATTCAATTCAAATAAACTTTTTTTTTATTTTTTAGAGCTCGCTAAGCTCTACAAAATAAAAAAAGTTTATTCGAATTAGATTGCTAAATAGCTAGAAATTTTAATTTTTATTCATAAGATCTACATAGCCCCGTAAGGTCATTTTCAAGGCACAGACCCTATATATTTGGATCTGAAAAAAATGATAATATTCAAAATAATAACGAAGTAGGTCATAAATTTGGCTAAACTTAAACTGTGTTATTGGAATTTAATTACAAATTAATAATGAAAGTCATCAGAAAACAAATAAAAATAGAAAGTCTTTTATTTTCTCTGCAATGTTCGCTTGGTTCCTCAACGATTTTACTTCCAACTCCTCTTTTTTTCCTACCACAACAAATATCACATACTACTTTTCTTTCAGGAATTTCGCTTTGTGGATTTTAGATATGACAGTTCATTGTAAATTATAATAAAATGTAATATCATAGCATTGCCCAGAAAAATATATGTTGTATTCATAGACTCAAAATTTTAACCTTTCGTCAGAGGTTTCGTTATTTGGGGTTTTAGGTTTCATCTTTCGTCATCATGCAACACTAACTACTATAGTACAGGCTGTTCTTTATGTTCACACCTCTAATTATACCTCCGAACTCGCGTCCAAGATATTGTCAGGGTATATTTTATTTTTTAAAAGTTTGGTGATATAATTAAGTTCTTCATTAAATAAATATATAAATCCGCTAAGTAATTTTTTTTTTTTGTAAAAAAAAAAAAAAGTTCGGTAATTAACCACCTTTATTAACATATTCGCTCAAAGAATTTATTTTTGAATTTCGGAATAGTCATCTGAATTTGACACGATTGACACGTACTCATCCAGAGCGCAACCTTGTCTACATTTACGGTGTGCTATAATTCGGGTAATTTTATATATCGGGGGATTAAAAAGAAATACTTAGATAATTAAACACTATTGAGTTATTCATAGAACTTGCTTTATTTGTGAACATCGTATTTAATTTTGGCTAGATTCCACCTCATCTACCCTTCTATATGTTCAATTGTGTAAAATTCACACATCTGATCAAGGAGCTGAATGGTTATGAGAATGGAGCTCAATAAAATTTATCCATTGGTTCCATTCAGAGCTCCATTAGTTCTATTCAGCTCCATTGGACTCCATTGAGCTCTATTGCCAACCCTGCAATGTATTCAATTGTATAACATTACTTTTCTATAGTGATTTGAAATAGGGTTGTGTCCAGAATTCTGCGGTGCATAATTCTGGACACTCTAATCTGAAATCAGAAAACAAAAAAAAAAAATATAGCATCATTAGTATAATTCGATTTGAAAATTGATTCCTAGGGGTTTTATGTTAAACAATTATGGTCTAAAAGATAATACAATTCATTTCTACTGGTTTAACGATGCCCCCTATTACTGTAGCACTCATAACTTTTGCTTATTTGGGTTGGTACACAGCAAAACCATGCTTAGAGAGATTTTAACCGAAATTGAGATTTTTATTAGAAAATGGCAACTATTAAGCAGCCGTGGATATGGATGTTAATTAGTCTTTTGGGATCGAATCCTGACCGGCCCGGTCTGATCCTTCAAGGATTGGTAGAGATTCGATCCTTAAATCACATGAAAACACAATACATTTTATAAAACTTAGATTCTGAATTGAATTATTATAACAATACAAAATTAATTTGATTGGATTAACTTATTTGATGAATTTAATTCAGTATCTGATGCAGGATCTAAGTTATATAAAATGTATTGTATTTTCAAGACCGAATCCAGGACCATCTTTTTAGATTCTAGGATCGGACCGGACTAAATTCGCAATTTAACATCCCTAGCCGTGAATCAAATTATTAAATGATGAATAAAAACAAAAATGCAAAAGCAATAGTTCATATAAATTTTAATTATTTTGATTCGTTATTAATGCTGTTCACTCATTCTTATCTACTAATTAAAGCTACCGTGATATTTTTTTTTTATGTAATCTCATTAAAAAAAAACCTATTTTTCAAATAAAATTTTTACCGAAGGGCCGAAAATTATATAACATACAGTTTGTATGACATATTCTCCGACCGATATCGCGTATTCATATCGATATCGCCTATTGATACGTATCAATAGAAATTTGGTGAGATCTTCATAAGTTCAAATGTGTGTCTGGTTGTTATTGTGTCTCATTTAGGAAAAGAAAATTTTCAGGTAACGGTAATGGTAATGATTTAATTAAGAGATCTGCAAGTTGCAGCACATATAAAATTATATGGCGATCTGTGTTTTGTAAAAATCGCTTCTAAGCTAACACTATGTCAAAAAATTTTTGTTGTTTCATATTTTTAAACTATCTATATTTTTTTCTTCTTACGACAAAAACCTTGTTTTGAAAATAGTGTTTTGAAATTATCGACGAAATCAAACTCGAAATTTGATTGGTAACCTTCACAGCTCATATCTCTTAATAATTTAATAGTTTAAAATATTTCTGAAATTCATTTAGATATGAACTACGAGAGTTGAGATATTAACTTTTTTTAAATTGTCAATCTGCCTGATTTCTATTGACGGCAATCAAAATGTGGTAAAACCGTTTTTAGTAACACATGAATTTGTAGCACGGGATCAGAAAAGGGTTCGTGTAACTTACGAGTTGTATTAACAAAAACACAATTCTGGTTTACTGATAAAAATGAAGAAGTTAGCATCGGTCAAATAAAGAAATTTTATGTGAAATTTCTAAATATCCAGAAGTTTACTTTGGGCATAATTTAAATAAATAAATATACGTATTAAATCTATTAATGCGAAGTCAGAAATAACCCAATATAAAAACATGGAGGTGCTTATTTTCGGATATTTTACATACAAAATTTGGTAGTGCTTAATTTCGGGGGTGCTTAATTTTGGAACTATATGGTATAAATTTAGGCAAAATTATAGAATAAAAAATATAAATTTGGGCAGTAAATTTGGGCAAAATTAAGGTATAAATTTTGGCAAAATCCGCACATTCGAATTTTCAACACTGAATGCGATCTGTTATTTAACGGTATGGGAGAACTTTGTTTATCGTATCACATTAAAACACGTAAATTTCCACGAGTGTCAATCCAAAAAAATTTTCAACGTCAAGATAGATAATGTATTCAAATTGAATAAAAAAATATATATATATAATTTGTTTACATTGTTTTATTGAACAATTTTATTTATTCCTTAAAAAGCATTACACTTAAGTAACATTTAAAAGCAAATTGAATCGCCAGTATTATAACTGAATTCATAACAAAATATAAACCGAAAAATAAAATATTTTATTTAACATTATCTTTTAGAACTTTCAGACCTTGATCAATGAGGGCCTACATATTAAATATATAAAAATGATAGAAATAAATTTGCATAAAAAGTAACAAATTAACTAAAGACTTACTGACAAAGCAATTACTCCTCTAATCAAATTTTTAAGCTTATAGTAATCAGTAACGTTGGATGGAACTTCAATTATGAAGATTTCCTGTAAAATAACATATCGATCAACAGATATTATCCTTTTAATCACAATATCAAATCCTTCTGTTGATGCTCCAAAGATTTAAAAATTTTTAGGTATTAAACGCCCTTTTCTTTTCTCTTGACTAACAATATAGTTTATATTATTTTGCATTTGTTTACTTAATTTGGCAAAATCATTCTTGATCTTTTTCTGAATCTTGTTTGTCGGGCTTCCGGCAACCTCTAAAGTGAAGATCTCATAATCCGAATAATTTTGAACAGTAAAGTCTGGTCTGGTTCCATTTGCAGATTCTTGAGAATTTTGGAGTTTATTATGTTTTGATGATATTGATGCTGAATCCCTATAGAGAAAATTTGATAAAATTCTAAAATAATTGTGGAGTAATAGAATTTACATTTTACTTACCAACTAGTATAAGAGCCATCGATATCTGCCAATATATCGAGACATGATTCTAAAACTTCTGTACAAAATTTTAATTCAGACATTTTTAATAAAAAAAAATATTCCTTTCGGAATTTTTTAAGACTAATTCAATTTATTATTTCAATAAATCAGAGAATTTGAAAATCAACTTTCCCAATTATTAGAATAATTCTACAAGTTTTTTAATGATAAGATCTGAAATATACATTACAATTTTTGTACAGTATCAAAAATGAATGTAATTTGGCGCTCTTTTAAAGTTTCAATTCCCAAATTTACTAATTTCCATTTCTGTTCCACTTCTTTGAATATATTTTCAGCATTAAGGATCTAAATATTATTATTAATGAATTAAATTATCAAAACAAAATAAAAAAAAAGAGCGCATTCCATGTTACCTCTTTATCTTTAAAAATAGAAAATATATTATCTAAATATTTATTGACCTCTTCTCTAATTCTACATTTGCAGGTGGAAACAAATTCCTCAAAAATTGAGTTTCATTTTTTTGCAATAAATTGCTTAATCGATTAATATCCAAAATATGGTCCTTAATAAATCTTTTTTGGAAAAAAATTAGAAAATTAAATAATCAATAAACATTTTTATGTATGTCAATAGGTACCTATCATTTTATACAAACGGTTCCATATGTTGAAGATAGTAGTGCTTTGCTTAGAAGGAATGACAACAATCACAGAAAAATAGTCATTTAAAATATGGTTCGCTTTTTTATGGCATCTTACTGCATATTTATTATTTTTACTAATCGCTTTTAAGCAATTTATCCAAATTTTTTCGCTACATTTTTCAGTTGTCAAAAATTTGAGAAATCCATCATAATTCCATTCATTTACATTAACTTCATTAAAATAATCGTCTACTTCTGGCATTCTAAAAATAAAGTAAATATAATTAGATAATATAACTATTATTTCGATTAATTTACTAACATAATTTTTCTCAGCAACTAAATTAATAAAACTGTTGCACAGTGTTCTTTGAATTTTAGACGAATTGAACGATAGACCACTAAACTGTTATGCAGCATTATTAAACTGCTGCATAACGTTCCTCGGCTAACGGACAAAGCGTCAAACATCAAACATCATTGAATAATCATATAACGCAATTTCCTTCATAAGTTCTTACCTAGCAAACGTTTTCAATATTTCGTATATTGATTTTCATTTCGATATAGAAATATTCACAGGAAATAATAAAAAACAAGAATTATGCATCTTTTTTTTTTCCCACTATCTGTGTGAAAGAAGAATGATTTCCGTATCGAGATTAAGAATCGACAATCATTCAACTCAAATTTATACGTATCGATTGATATTATAAAATAAAATGTCACCTTTACATTACTTACGTCATATAAAATTTGGATAGTGACGTACGTCAATACGTTACTACTTACGTCATGCTTTATATTCTAATGTCTGCAAGTTACATGGCCTCATGTAAGTTACAAATATATAAGGTAGTAAAGCAGGCCGGCATTAAGGAAGTTTGACCAGCATTAAGATGAAATAGAAAGAAAATTTTTAATTTTAGGCCAAAAGCTAACGCTAAAGTGGGCCAGCTTTAAAATTATTGGCCAGCATTAGATTAGATGTAAGTTACGTAAGTTACATAACTGATAAGGTAAAATCTAACTTACGTAAGTCAACCCTACTTATGCCTAATTTTGCCCGGAATTATACTTAATTTTGCTTGAAAATACTGTATTTTGTGTTTCAAATTTCTGAAATCGAAATCTAAATCTGAAAATACTATGAATATAGATAACAGGCCAAACCAACTATCATATAAGTCGCTAACAACATCGCTCCCTCTAACCAGTTTGATTCTCCATCCTAAAAAGACATTTTGTCAAATAAACTCTGAAAATATATATACATAATAAAATGAACCTAAAGTTTTGGTCCGGGATTTTCTTGACATAAGGGTTCATAGGCAGAAGTTCGTTTGATTGGCCAGTTTCTAATAATCAAATTACACAATTTGCAGTTCGTTATTCGTGTACGAAACGAAAAACCTCAAGAAAAGTTTACATGAATCGACGAACACACACGAATTATATTGAAACATACGCACAGTAAATAGATAGATACATATAGAGTAGAAAAAGTGATATTCACTATTAAAACATATCCGAACACTAAACCTACTATCTGTAAACCCAAATTCATATCTATAATCAATAAACCAAAATACGCTTTAACAAATTAAACTAAATTTTAAAGAATATTTTAAGTATAAACCCAAATCTCTCATGTTAATAACCTTGCGTCTTATCTTAAATACCTAACTCAAAATCTAAATCTTAAAAAAATAGACGCTATTTTTGTTAGTACAGTAGTAGTTAGTTTTGTTTTAGTGCGTGTTAAATTTAGACGAAGCTTCTTTCCTTTACCTTTTTCAGAATGTCGTGTCTAAGCTAACTTCTCTGAATATAAGATTATAAAAGATTTTGAAGCTAAAAATAATGTTTTTAACGATTTTTTGCCTGTGTAATTTTGTATTCCCAAAAAGTACTTTAAAGTGTATAAATAAGTTACCCGGGCAATTGTTTTACATCAGCCAATCAAATGCACCAAACGTACAGTCGTAGAAAATGTAATGAATTATAAACTTAAAGGTCCAAATAATCTTATAAAACCTATTAAATAAATATATGAAAGTTTTTATCCTCGAAAATTTTAAATATGCGACCAAAGTTCCATTTTCCCGTTTCTTTGTTGTTAACCTATTGTTAACCATGATTTGGTTAACCAAAAGTTAACCCAAAAAGTTAACCATGAGGATCAGTGCATTAAATATAACAATTATCCTTTTTAACGTGTCAAATGCATTTTGAAGATGTTACAAAACATTACAATCAAATATAAAAGGCCTCAATTTTTCAAATATTATCTAGTAAAATAAACAAACTATAAGTGTTTTCTTTGCTCCTCTCACTATGGACGGAGTAGTGAATGTTGCTACTGTGATGACTAGAAAACGGCGACTCAGTCGCTTCACAATCCAAAAACTCGTGTAACCTGGGTAAGTAACCTTTCGAA